TATTATTCTAATTAGACCAGAGTCCTTCCGGACGAAGCCATGGCAGTGGGGGCCAAGCCCCTTGCACGAACTTTGTGCATTGGGCCATGTGTGTGTGTGTGTGTGTGTATATATATATATATATATACACAAACACACACTCACACAAATTACTTATATGACTGGGAAGTTTATCAGTAAAAGTACTTGAAAAGGAAAGTAAAATATTAAATGTATACATGCAGCTTACTATTTTAAAAGTCTTTACCTAAATGCATAAATGAGATAAACCTTATTCTAGAACGCCTAAAAAGTGACTGCTAAAATTTGTCAAGCTTGTAAACAAACAGAATGATAAGAATTGTAAGGTGAATTTGAAAGCCTAGAAAAGAGCTAGGACTTGAAATGTATAGAGTGAATGAAATGAATTTTAATTTTAAACATCTAGGTAAAACTTTGACACTCTCTTCTGCTGACAAAGGCCACCCTAAAGCCATCAAAAACCCCCATTAATAATCTAAATCTCCTCCTCCCTGCTTCTCAGTAGTAAATCTAGTGAGAGCACTCAAGAATCAAGCCCGTGTCTTCACAGTCACCTATGCCTGAATCCAGATCCAATCTGTGTTGTTTGACCTGGTTCAAATTGTGAATTTGAAAAAGAGGGCCTTCCTATGCCAGAGAGAAAGCTCTGGGGAGGATGCCAATGTGAGAGATCATTTTAAATATGTGTGAATGTGTATGTGTATAATGATGACAATGATAACACCACTTCATTATTTCACATAGCATTTATAATTCATAAAGCCCTTTCAAACTCACTCTCACTCTCTTGATCTAGTAAAATAATGTAGCAACTCGGTGATTAGCATGAGCTTTGAAATGAAAGACCTGGAGTGATTCCTGCCTACCAGTAGCATGGCTCTGGGCAGATTGCATTTCATCTAGGTTTCCTCAATGCTAAATCAGGGTTAATAATAATATCTACTCCATGGGTTATTGTCAGGATCAAGATGAAGAGTATCTGAAATGAGTGCTTAGCATACCGCCTGGCAAGCAGTAATGGCAACAGAGACCTGAGCAGCTATCTCATGGCCAGAGGACCCCTGTGAGGTCAGACAGACAGGCAGTATTATCCCCTTTGTGGAGGAAGCTGCAGGTTTAAAAGACCTGTGCATAGGCATACAGCCCACAGGCAGTGGTGCCACAGTTTTGATTCCTACTTTGCTCCCTGCCTGTCCTGCTGCAGCTCAAACTTGATCAAGCATCAGCAACACGGGGAGGGCTTCTCACAGCAGAGGGCACTCCCTACCACAGAGGTTCTGATGCAATAGTTCCGGAGTGGGGCTCAAGAACTTGCATCTTATGGAGGGACCTGCAGAGTATTATGCTAAGTGAAATAAACCAGTCAGAGAAAGATAAGTACCACATAATCTCACTCACATGTGGAATCTAATGAACAATATAAACTGAAGAACAAAACAGATCCAGAGACGTTGAAACATGCAACAGACAGATGTATTTCAGAAGGGGGGAGGGGGCGGTGGGGAGAATGGGAAGAAACTAAACTAAGAATTTATATGTATACTAGAGGCTCAGTGCATGACATTTGTGAACTGGGGGAGGGAGGGGTCCCTCAGCCTGGCCTGCGCCCTCTCACCGTCCGGGACCCCTTGGCAGACATCCCCTGAGGGGTCCTTAGTGCTGTCATGCCATGAGCCCAGCTTCTGGCTGAGTGGCGCTCCCCGTGTGGGAGCGCACTGACGACCAAGGGGCAGCTCCTACGCTGAGCATATGCCCCCTGGTGGTCAGTGCACGTCATAGCGACCGGTCATTCCGCCATCTAGTCAATTTGCATATTAGGGTTTTATTTATAGGACTAGGGGCCCGGTGCACGAAATTCGTGCACTGGGTGGGGGTGGGGGAGAGTGTCCCTCAGCCCAGCCTGCCCCCTCTCACATACTGGGAGCCCTCAGGCGTTGACCCCCATCAATCTCCAATCACAGGATCGGCCCCTTGCCCAGGCCTGATGCCTCTGCCAGAGGTGTCAGGCCTGGGCAGGGGACCCCCAGACC